GAAGGACTGATAGAAGATAAGGCCATGGATAAAGTGTCGAAAGCCTTACTGATATCTAATAGAGATGGCGAATTATTCAAAAATGTGCGGATTCGGCTGATTTGCCGAATTTGCGGGGAGAAATTCGATTGGCAGATGAGTGCCGTCCATCTTAGAATCACGGTTTGGGTGCTTCGCGATCATCTTGGGGGTGGAGGGGGTTGCGGACGGAAGAAGATGGACAGATGAAGAAGAAGAAGAATGAAAAGAATGAATAAGAAGAATGAAAGAAGAAGAATGAAGAATGAAAAGAGAAAGAAGAGAAGAATGAAAGAGAATTGAGGAATGAGAATAGAAGAGAATTGAGAAAGAAGAAGAAGAAGCTAATGAAGATAAAGAAAGAAGAAGGAAGAAGAATGAAAGAAGAGGAATGATAAAGAAGAAGAAGAGAAGAATTGAAGAAGAATGAAGAATGAAGAATGTATGGTTATGAAGAAGAAGAATGAAAGAAGATGAAAGGGAAGAATGAGAGAAGAAGAGAATGCATATACTGGAAAGAGAGAAGAAGAAGGAAGAATTGAACGAAGAAGAATGGAAAGAAGAAAGGAATTGGTAAAAGAAGGGAGTGAGAAGAAGACCTTGTAGGAGAGGGAAGGAAGTAAGGTAGAGAGGAGATGAAAGAAGGTAGAAGAATGAAATGGGGATGAAATTGGAAGGAGGGAAGAGGGTATGAAAAGAGGAATTTAGAGGGATAGGAAGCAATGTGAGATGGAAAGGAGGGAAGGAGTGGAAGGGGAAGAGAGTGGTGGGTAAGAGAGAGGAGGGAGGGGAAGTAGAGAAGAGGGATGGATGAGGAAAGAAGAAAGAAGTTAAAGAATGAGAAGAAGGGGAATGAAAAGAAGAATGGGACGAAGAAGAATGAAAAGAAGATGGAGAGGGGATGAAAGAGAGAAGAAGGAAGAGAGGGAATGAATAGAAGGAAGAAGAATGAAAAGAGAATGTAATGGGGAGGAAGAATGAAAAAGAGAAGAAGGAAGAATGTGAAGAAGAAGAAGGAAGAAAGTGAGAAAAAAGGAAGAAATGTAGCATTCCAGATAGCACGCAAAAGGTGTGATATCTGCAGAGAGCTCTCGCTGATATTTCTGGACAGTTCGTCTGACAGATTCCTTCACAGATTTACAGCAGTTAGGAACATTGTATTTCTATGTGTTTCCGGAAATAAAAACATTGTATCCTAAATGGAAGAACAGAATTAGTTTACCAAAGTTTCAACTGATGCTCGTAAATGTGAAGCGAACTGTCTAGAGGAACTGTCAGTAATATGAGCGGAGCAGCTCCTCTGCACTGCAGTGGTAGCTAATTTTGCCGGGCTCAGATCGGGAAAAATTCGATCTCGTTGCACCCGATTAGTTTTGCTATAGAAAAGAATTCGGATTCTGATAGGACGAATCGAATTTTTCCTGATATTCGCGTAACGAATCTCTGTCTTCGGCCAGGTTGCGATTCGCTGCTATCTTCTAATAATACTAATGGTATAAGGTAGCCATCATATTGAGTTTACGGGGGATTTATGGTCTTTAAATGTTGTATTGTAGGGATACGTCTGATCGGGGCATCTCCAGCTGGTTCTATGGGGAAAACAAAAGCCCACCTGGTCATTTTTGATCAATACGAGGAAAGGAGAGGAATTTCAATGTAATGAGTTAGCACCAAAAATCGTTCGTGATGAATTCTTCATATCGATAGTAATAATGAGAGATAGGCCTATAATTTGCCCAGGAGCAAGGACATGATCTCCGCATCTGTGTTTTAGGGATTCATTAACCACATTGGCGAGGTCAACAGAATCTGGTGGGAAAAAGTCCAACTGCCCCCCTTTCCACCGCGTTAAACACTCGCGGGCTATGGTGGGGCGCGAGTCAACCTTCAGACCAATTTTCTTTTAATATTGGTGCCGTGTAGTCCATCCGGACCCGGCGGGGTACGTTTCAGTAAATATATTTTCTAACGGTGTACTATTTGATTGAAATCGTTACCACTGACTCGTCTAGGTTACAAACGTCTATTGATAAGTCCATCACATTAGCAAAGAAAAACCAAAAACAAATACATTTCGCGATAAATGAATTGTATGTGTAGAAATGTAAAATGAAATGACACAGGGAAAGATGAAGTGATTTGAAACACATGAAGAAAGTGGAAGGTGCAAGAAAAAATGCGAGTGGGAAGCCAAGACATCAGCTGAAAATCTCATTCACTAATTTATAAAAGCATATCTCCTGCCCCCGTTGTCAGTGTGCAAGATTATGTAATCAGCTGGATCTGGTCTCAACTATTGGGCTATAAAAAAGATGCTCCTGTCATTGTACCAAAGGTGTGGACACAAGAAAACATTATCGTGAGATGGTTAAAGAAGCAATACGAGCTTCTCTCATACAACTTGTGCGTGTTTTAGTTTGTTGCAAAAATCATACTGATTGAGCATTGGTTACAGAAAGGATTTCTAAACGTTCGTCTTAAACTGAAGTGTGTTCCAGTCGAGCAATGTTTGGGGCCATTAATCCGCGACGTGGTAAGGTGGTCATTCATTTCACTATATAAACCTGCCTACGACCAGATGCTGCTCGCAAGTTTTTTCGACATGAGGAGTGTGAAAAAGAACTTATCGGAAGAGTTGGTCCAAGAGTCCAAGGTACCCAATTGGTGGGAGAGCTTCGCAGAGAAATAGACATGTGAATTCAGCAGGTTACAATAAGTGTAATAGCACTATCACCCAGCAGTGGCCTGTATGCACGTCATCACCGCAAAGACTTCCCATTGCTGAAGAATGAAAAGCATTGATTGGAAGCTTGATTTAAAGTTTGCTGCACAAGTTCTCTTTAGAAATAGACTGGTGAGAACATGATGTCTGGTCAGAGGCGAGGTATCCAATCATTGAATTTCTTTGGTATGCCGATAATAAGCATTACCGTGTTTGTGAGGTCAACATGGTACTTCTTATAACCCAAAAATCACCAGACTATGTCTGTGAAATCTATTGGCGGTGGGAACATCATGGTTTGTGGGGCTGTTTATCAGCATGCGGTTACTGGGCCAAACCTCATGTCAATTGAGAGAAGGAATTGAGAATGGAAAAATGGACCAAGACAATTCCTGCTCTAACAATCTGTAATGCCCTCTCCCTAGGTACGATGTGTGAAGTACAAATGGGATAACTCGATTCGGGCTGGGACAATTTTCCACCAGGACAACGATCCCATAATCGCAAAGCCGAGGAAACGCTCGAATAGGTTCCCATTGAAAGAAAAATTTAGAATGGTTGTGTCCCGGCCACGTCCACGGGGGACTGTGAAATCCAAATAGGAAAATCCTATGGAAAGAATCGCTAAATGAATCTGAGCTTCATAGAAGACCCAGAAGAACCTTCCAGATGTGAAGGACTGTCCTGACATATTGGGGGGATTTGTACCGTCTCCTGACATTTTGGGGGGTATTTGTACCGTCCCTTGGACATTTGGGGGGGATTTTGTTACCCGTTACCTGAACATGTTGGGTCGGGAGTTGTACCGGTCCTGACATTTTGGGGGGGACTTTGTACCCGGTTCTGACATTTGGGGGTGTGTTATTTGTTACCGTCCTGAAATTTGGGGGGTATTTATACCGCTTTTGCCTGACATTTGTTGGGTTGTTGGAATTTGGTTACCGCGTCCTGACATTGTTTGTCGGGGGGATTTGTGTCACGCGTAACAGTGAAATTTGGGAGGGGGAGGGGGGGATATCTGTACTGGGGGGTTTTTGCCCCCCTTTTTTTGGAAACATGTTGGGGGGGATATCTGTGTACTGTTTCCTGACATTATGGGGAGGAGTTTGTACCGTTCTTGACATTTGGGGGGATTTGGGTAGTCCGTTCTGACATTTGTGGGGGGATTTGGTACCGTCCTGAGTATTTGGGGGCGATTTTTACTGTGTCCTGTCACTATTGGTGGGATCTTTGTGCAGCTTCGTCCTGACATTTGAGGGGGGTTTTTGTACCGTCCTGACATTTGGCGGATATGGTGAAGGGGATTTGGTGGACTATCCTTAACCGTCCTGACATTTGGGGGATGGATTTCTTTCGTACCGTCACTGACAATTTTGTTGGGGGATTTTGTGTACTGTCCTGACATTTGGGGGTCGATATCTGTAACCGTCCTGACAGTTGTGGGGGGATTTGTACCTTCGCTGACAGTTTGAGTGGGATGTATATTGTACCTCGTCCTGACAATTTGGAGGGGCTTTGCTACCTGTCCTGACATTTGGGCGGGGATATCTTGATACCGTCCTGACAGTTGGGTGGGATTTGGTACTGTTCCTGTCATTTGGGGAGGGGGGATAGTGCTTGAAATCCGTCCTGTACTGTTCGGGGGGATTTGTACTGTCACTGGACATTTTGGGGGATATCTGTACCGTGCCTGACATTGGGGGGATTTGTACGTCGTCGGCATTTTAGGCGGGGTATCTTTACTGTCCTGAATTTGGGGGGATTTTGTACCTTGTCCTGACCTTCTGGGGGTGTTTATTGTAGCCGTCCTCTGACATACTTGGTTGGGGCTCTCTTTGGACCGTTCCTGCACATTTGGGGGGGATATTCTGTGTCCGTGCCTCCTGACTATTGTGTGGGGGGTTATTTGTACCGTCCGGCGGACATTTGGAGGGGAGGGATATCTTTTTTTGTGTATACCGTCCTGACATTTGGGGGTATTTGTACCGTCCTGACGCATTTTGGGGGGATTTGTACCGTCGTGGCATTTGGGGGGTATTGTACCATTGGGGGGATTTGTCCGTCGTGCCATTTGGGGGGAATTGACCGGGGGATATCTGTACTGTCCTGACATTTGGGGGATATCTGTACCCTCCCTGACATTTCGGGGGATATCTGTACCCGTCCTGACATTGTTGGGGGGGATATTCTGTACCGTCCTGACATTTGGGGGATATCTGTACCGTTGTCCTGACATTTGGGGGGATATCTGTTACCATCTGACATTTGGGGGGGGGATATCTGTACCGTCCCTGACATTTGGGGGGGGGGGACGATCATCTGTACCATTTGACATTTGGGGGGGAATTTTGTGCCATCCTGACATTTGGGGGGGAATTGGTGTCGTCCTGACTACATTTGGGGGGATATCTGTACCCGTCCTGACAATTTGGCGGGGGATATCTGTACGGCGTCCTGACAATTTGGGGGGATATATCTGTACCGTCCGCTGACATTTTGGGTTGGGATATCTGGTACTGTCCCACTGACATTTGGGGGATATCTCTGTACTGTGTCCTGACATGTTGGGGATATCTGTTACCCGTCCTGACATTTGGGGGGGGATATCTGTACCGTCCTGACATTTGGGGGGATATCTGTACCGTCCTGACATTTTAAGGGCCTCAGGGATAAATGACGGCTCGTCCCATCAAACAGTTACACGTCTGGATCGAGTCGAATTTTTCTAGATATCTCACCAGTTTGTGGTCTCCATGACTTTCCTACAGATAAAATCATAAACAACGGATTTGGGTTCTTTCTCACCGCAGACATGGAGCAGAATAATAGTCTCGACATACATTTTATGAAGTGAAGAAAACAATTAATTATTTGCCAAAATTTTTATAAATAAGAAAAATGTGTGTTTTTTCAGAATTTTTGGTCTTTTTTTCATTAATTTAGCAAAAATATGGAAGACCGTCCCCGGTTATTGATGAAAATACCACCCGAAAAAAAGCTCTAGTAGAGTGTGAACAAAATCAATTTAGAAAATGATTGTTTGTGACACATGCAAGCGTCGCATGACCGCGCAATTGTCATTGAAAGTGTGAGCGCGCTGAAAGCTGAAAAATTGGTGTAGTGGGCAGGAAGTGGGGGGAGAGCTCCCGAGCGTGGATCCGCAGAGGGCGTAACTGAGAAGAGGGCGTTTCTTGTCCTCGGGAGGATCTGACCTTCATACGCCGGAGGCATCTTTTGGCACTTTACAATATAATAGAAGTCCAGCGAGAGAACGATTTGTATTATTGGATTGTTTGAAATTGATTGATTATCGAGATCGGAAGTGTTCGTGTAATTATTAAGACGGGAGTATTGAGTACAGACAAGTATTTGTCATGGGGTTGTATTTCTTTTGGGGTTTTTGATGACGTTTGTATTTTTGGATGACATTGTGGATTTATAGTGATTTAGTTTGGGAATTTAGTGCAGGAGGGGGGGAGTGCCGAACTTGTAATGTAGAGAGTCAGGTCACCTGGTGGCAGCACTACTACCCATGGACCTGGGGAGTGCAGTTCCTGTGTCGGAGCCACTGGGTGTCTCCCAGCAATCTGTTCAACATCACTGGGAATTTAATGTTGTCTGCTGGAGAGTATTTAGTAGCTCTTTGCGCTCAGCATCCCCCCCCCCCCTGCGTCCCGCTGTCACCTGATGGAGCTGTGTTGTGTTCATGATGTCTGTTTCTCATTGTGTTCTGTTTTTTTCCCCCCAATAAATGGTTATTGTTTCACTTTTTTGTTCCAGTTTCGCGAGTCCGTCACATGGCTGTCTCTAATACACGAGGGAGCGATGATTGGGCGGTATCATACTGAGGAGGGAGCGATGATTGGTGGCGTATACTGAGGTGGGATATGTTGAGTGGATGATTGGGCGGTATCACACTGAGGGAGGGATGTGAGTGATGATTGGGCGGTATCACACTGAGGGAGGCGATGTGAGGATGATTGGGCGTTAGCACACTGAGGAGGAGCGATGATTGGGCATGGGGAGGGATGTGAGTCGACCCTTATCACACTGAGAGGGATGTGGGAGATTTGGCGTATCAGACTGAGGTGGGAGCGATGATTGGTATCACACTGAGGAGGGATGTGAGTGAGTTGATTGGGCTAGGTTATCACACTGAGGAGGGATGTGATGTGAGGATTTGGCGGTATCACACTGAGGAGGGAGCGATGATTGGGGGGTATGGGGTCACACTCGGGCGAGGAGGAGGATGTGAGTGAGGATGATGGGCGGTATCACACTGTGGATTGGGAGCGATTGATTGGGCGGTATCACACTGAGGAGGAGAGCGATGATTTGGGCGGTATCACACTGAGGGGGGGGGGAGCGATGATCGGGAATTGGGGGTATCACACTGAGGAGGGGGATGATTGGGTGGGATGTGTTGGGCATGGGGGTATCACACTGAGGAGGGATATGCGAGTGATGTATTGGGCGGTATCACACTGAGGAGGGAGAGTGATGATTGGGCGGTATACACTGAGGGAGGGGAGCGATGATTGGGCGTTGGTATCACACTGAGGAGGGAGCGATGATTTGGGTACGGTATCACCCCCCACTGGAGGCTTCCGAGGGAGCTCAGATGATTGGGCGGGTAGAATCACACTGGGAGGGATGGGAGTGCGATGATTGGGGCGGTATCACCCACACTGAGGCGCAGGGAGGCGATGAGTTGGCAGGTATCACACTGTGATGCTGGGAGCGATGATTGGGTCACGGTATCACACTGGGATGTACGCTTTGTATTGGGCGGATCTGGAGGGAGCTGATGATTGGGCGGTATCACACTGTGGAGGGAGCGATGATTGGGCCCGGGCTATCACACTGTGGAGGGAGCGATGAGGGGCGGTATCACACTGAGGAGGGATCCGTGTCATCGAGTGATGCGACTTGGGGCGGTATCACACTGAGGGAGGGGATGTGGTGAGTTGATGATTGCATTGGGCGCGTGTATCTCCACTGAGGAGGGGATGGGGTGTGAGTGATGATGTGGGCAGGGGTATCACACTGAGACGGGATGTGAGTGGATGATTGGCGGTATCACACTGAGGTAGTGGAATAGGGTGAGCCGATCTGATTGGGCTGTATCACACTGAGGAGGGATGTGAGTGAGGATTGGGCGGTTGCGTATGCTCCACTGATTAGGTGGAGCGATGACCCTAGTTTGGGCACGGTATTCCCCCTATCACTTGAGGATTCATCCCGCCTCTCCCCCTTGAGGAGGGAGCCACGGATGATTGGGCGGTATCACACTGAGGATGGGACGGGATGATTGGGTGGTATCACACTGTGACGGGGATGTCGATGACCGTTGGGCGCGATGAGTTTCACACTGAGCTGAGGGGGAGCGATGATTGGGCGCGACTTGTATCACACTGAGGCGAGGTGATGAGCGATGATTGGGCGGTATCACACTGTGACGGGAGCCGATGATTGGGGGGCGGTTATCACCACTGAGAGGGGCGACGGTTGGGCCGGTATCACACTGATGATATGGAGCGATGTATTGGCGGTATCACACTGAGGAGGGCCCCCGCGATGATTGGGGGTTATCTCCATCACTGAGACGTGGTGAGCCGAATGTATTGGGCGGTATCTAGCACTGAGGAGGGATGTCGATGATTGGGCGGTATCACCACTGAGGAGGTCGCCAGCGTATGATTGGGCCATGTACACCACTGATCCCGGGGGGAGCGACTATTGGGCGGTATATCCCACTGAGAGAGGGAGGCGATGATTGGTCGCTTGGGTATCACCTGAGGAGGGAGACACTGATCCTGAGTGATGGGGGCGTATGATGATAGGGCATGATTGACGGTATCACACTGTTAGGTAGGGTGAGCGATGATTGGTTGGTATCACACACTGCTGACCCTTAGGAGGGATGAAGATTGGAGCTCGGTATCAACACTGAGAGCGGGAGCGATGGACCGATGGGCGGTATCACAACGGAGGAGGGAGCGTGGATTGGGAGGTATGAACTGGGAGGGATGTGAGTGATGATTGGGCGGTATCACACTGAAGGAGGGTTCCCGATGATTGGGTTGGTATCAACACTGAGGAGGCATAGCTGAGCCGGTGATGATTGTGGGCAGAGCGATATTGGGCGGTACCTCACACTGACGTGGAGGGAGCGATGATTGGGCGGGATCTGACACCTGAGGAGAGGAGCGATGATTCGGGATGGGCATTGCGGGTCGTATCACACTGAGGCTGGTGCCCGTAGGTGCGGGGACTAAGCGGGCTTGGGCGTCTGTCACACGGAGGACGTGGATGCGATGTGAGGTTGGCACGGTATGCACACTGAGCCGGAATCCCCCTCAGCGAATGGAGATTGGGCAGGGACTCCCCACCTCTGTGAGGGAGATCGATGACGTGGTACTCCCCCACATGGGTGCGATGATTGGCGGTACTCCCACTCGAGGAGAGGGGACTACGGAATGGGACGGTACCCCATCCTCTGGGAGGGCCGGTGAGGTGGCGGGGGTCTCACCACTGAGGAGGGAGCGATGATCGCTAAGGGCGGCTAATCACACTGATCGGGGGGAGCGATGCTTGGGTGGTATCACACTGAGGAGGGCGAGCGATGATTTTGGGCGGTATCACACTGAGGAGTGGAGCGATGATGTTGGGGTGGTGGGATCACACTGGGGAGGGAGTGATGATTGGGTGCGGTTTATCACACTGGGTCGGAGGGTCGCGAGGATTGGGTGGTTTTTTGACACACTGCGAGGTTATGGGAGTAAATCCACGAGTGATGATTGGTCGTATGGGGGGGACACTGAGGATAGGGATGCGATGTTTTGGGCTGGTATCAACACAGAGGAGGGAGGATTGGAGTGCGGTATCCACTGAGAGGAGGGAGATGATGATTTGGGCGGTAGGAACACGGGGGTGGGAGTTTGGGAGCGATGATTGGCGGATGATCACACTGGGAGGGAGGGATGTGAGGGATGATGGGGAGGAGGGGAAGGTATGGGCGGAGGGGGGGGGATGGGGGGGGTATCAACTGGCAAGGAAGGGTCGATTGATTGGGGGAGGTATCACACTGGAGGGGGCACGGAGCGGGGTCGGGTATCAAACTGAGGAGGGATTGGATGCTTGGGCGTAGTATCATGACTGAGGAGGTCCCCAGAGCGATGGATTGGGCTGGAGGTATCACACTGAGGAGGGGAGCGATGATTGGGGGGGAGGGGGTTGGTGAGGAGGGTGGGGGGCGAGCGGTTGATTGGGCGGTATCATTCCACTGAGGGAGGAGCGTTGGGGATGTGGGCAGAGGATGGATCCCACTGAGGAGGTGCAGGGGCGGTTGCAGTGGTATCCGGTCCCATGGGCGAGTGTGGTATCACACTGAGGATGGGGGGGTGCGTGAGGGAGTGGGCGGATATGCGGGAGGAGGGATAGGTTGGGTCAGGGAGGCGATGGTTGGGCAGGTTTATCAGGGGGGAGGAGGGATGGAGTGATGATTGCAGCGGCTGGGGATCACACTGAGGAGGGATGCGATGGGGGAGTGGGGGACACTGAGGAGGGGGGGGAGTGCAGATGGGGGTGGGGTGGCATGATGCCGGATGAGTGGCAGGTATCCCATGAGTACTGGGGGAGAAGGGATTGGGGGGCATCGATCAGAGGGAGGGGTTGTAGGGGGAGCGATGATTGGGGGATCACACTGAGGAGGGGGCGATGGGATGGGCGGGCA